ACCTGGTGTGAGTTAAACGTGTCCGGGCCTGTGTGGTCTGTGCTGATAGTAGCTCGTCTCCATCTAAATCCCCGCACAGATTTCCAGCCGTTTCCACACCAGCGCTCTGCCTTCCCTCCGTCGGGGGGCTTCGCTGCTGAATTAAGATTTTTCCCCGTCGCTCTAAAACAAATTTCTCTCGAGGAGGTTTGTGCAACTTAATGAGGCATCACTAATGCTGTTGGTGGCTGCGTCGTTCCCTGCGCCGCGGCCGGCGAGTCCGCACAGACCGCCTATTGATTCTGGCTCTAGACCTCTCCAAAGTCCTAATCAGGTTCTCTGGTTCAACTTTTCAGGCCCATTGTGGCTCCGTGTCACCTCAGGTCAGTAGTTATTAGCAGCGACTGAAAACAGTTTCTTTAACTACTCAGGACTGGACCAAATGAAATGCAGGAGGAACTTGGAGAGAGGGGATTATGGATTCCAGCGCTCAGTTAAGTCCGGCGCTGGCCAGAGTGTGACATGGTTCAGTAATGAGGGATGGGGCTTCTGCTCCGACTTTCTTCTCTCTTCATTGTTCCTCCAAAGAGACTTTAATATCACTGTTGGATTGACACATTGTCCGGTGGCCGTTTTTGGAGGGCCGCGGCGTGCCGGCTCTACGCTCGGTCCCACGGGCGCAATGTGGCCGCCTCATTTCAGGGATGAGGACGATTCGAGCCATATGTGAATATGGTTCATTTCATTTCATGTGCAGAGATGCTCCTCTTCTCTGAAGTGAGCCTGTTTTTGTCTCTTTGACAGCTCGATCCCTCAGTAAACGCCCGTCGATGGGACTTCAGGAAGGTCACTTCAAAGCACAGTTCAGCACGTTCATTCAAAACAGTCGTTCATTTTGGATCAGTCGGCTCTGAAATCCCCAAACAGGATTTATTATGAACTTCTGGAGTTTATAAAGTTGGTAAAATATAAGATTTTTTGTTATATTTTTAAATAATGAATGAAACATGAAGCCAAAGTGCTGCTACGCACTACACCTTTCTTTTACTTAATTTTTAAAAAATGAAACAGTGTTAAGTAAAAGAAAAGTCTGGAAAAAAAGAGTAAAAACTCCAAAATGACGTCTTTTAACTGATCAATGAACCAAACTCAAAAGATATTCAAGGAAATCAGAGAAAAATCCCAAAATCCTCACATCGGAGAAGCTGCAGCCTGTTTTTATGATAAATTCCTACCAGATTGAACTGTTATCCAGATGTTTGTAGAATGTTTTTGTCTGACTAGTTATCATTTCGATTTTATTTTATTGTATTTTTTTAGTTCTGCTTAATTTAAAACACGCACAAAGCAAATAAAAGTTTGGAGTGTGAGTTTTATAGGAAAATGTTTATTTTACTGGACCAAAGGTTCTGAACAAAGTGTCTTCCTGAAGCTCTGGTGTTGTCGTCACACCAGTCATACAAATATAACAAGGACACATCTTGATCACTGTATTTACAATATATTTAAAATAATGAACAGAACCAAATCGTTTCTCTGCTGTTGATGATGTCCACGTGGTCACTGAGTCCAAACTGCTGTCCAGCCGCTAACGTTTAACTTTGGAGTGAACGCTCACATTCATCAGAAATTAATGAAAAGGTGACGGTGTCAACCTGCTGTGACAGTTCATAATGGACTCCCTGACGTGAATTAACCCGTTTTAACCCGTCAAACAGTGTTTCTAACTTTACACTCTGATTCCCTCAAAGTATTATTCTGTGCTTCCTAACCAGTGGTGAAGTGTGTTAACTGCACTAACGGGTTCAGGGATGTTCCAGTTTTCAGCCGCAGTTCATTTTGAGCTCAGGTACCTCTCGTTCTGGGTCTCTGTACCCACTTCAGACCAAAACACAACCTGAAGCCACTCTTAAAATATCTGCTCCGAAATAAGACCTCGTCGGGGCGCTTCACTGATCCTAACACATCTGATGTGTCTCCAGGCAGCAGCAGCAGCAGCAGCAGCAGCAGCAGTACAGAAGCGGAGGTCACGGCTGGGATCGGGCCATGCAGTCGCAGCAGTTGGCGTACCAGCTAAACCGCGACCGGGGAGGGGAGGGGTCGGGCGGCTACCAGCAGCGCTACGATCAGCGCAGAGACGACTGGCACGATCGCAGGGACAACCGAGGGCAGCAGCATCGGGTAAACACTTTACATGTGCAGGCTTTGTTCTGACGAGCTGTGGGTGGAGCTGAAAAAGTTTGTGATGTGACTTGGAAACTTCTTTTTTTTTTTTTTACTGGTTAAAGTTAAAGAAGTGAACTTTTCTTTGGACTGAAGTAGGAGCTGTTTCTGGGCAGATCTATACAGAATGAAATGAGTTTAATAAGTTAACGGCTGATGAAAAGTCCAACATGTGTCCTCTAAGTCGGCTCAACATCAACTCTGATCACTGAATTTAAGAATTTGTTTGTGTTCATTTGAATTTAATTTCTGATGTTGTGTTGTTGAGGTACAGCAGCAGGATTTAAATGGAGTTCAGGGTCAGGCCTTGTGTTTGCTGCGTACTGTTTTCTGTTTTTATATCTTTATACACATCAATAAAATGTAAACAGACATTAGCCTGTAAACATGTGGGTCAGAATTTCTAATCATCTGAAACCTGCTCAGTTCATATTAACGTCAAACAGATAAAAACAGAAAGTCGTTGAGAAGCTAAAACCAACATTCACGTGTTTCTGCTTTGAAATGACTAAAATGATCAAAGCTGGTCATCGTGCTGTTGGACTGCTCAGTTAGTCGCTGTGTGTTTATCGGCTTTTCTTCTGATCAGATGACGACAGAATCCCACAACATCTGACCTTCACATAGTCAAACTCCAGATTAGAACCCGTCGCTCTCAACATTTTGAGTTAACATTTATTCTTTAAACACTATTGAAAGCAGCTCGTCTTCCTGCTTCCGTAAACATCTCCTAATGAGGAAACCGATGCATCAGTCTGACTCTAAACTCATTTTGTTTTTGTGTCAGCAGCTTTTTATTCTGTAATGAAATAAAAGAGAAAGACAGCAGAGAGTCTCCAGCCAGTAATAAACCTGTTCTCTAAAGACCAGACCAGAGTTTAGTGTTTAAACTATAACAAATAACCTCAGATTATTCTGTTGGTTTGGTTTTGAGGGCTCAGACTGAACCTGTTGTGTTTGTAATGGAGCCATAAATCACAGTTAATGTATTGAAGTGTGGGTTCATATAAATCTGCATAACGTGGCTGCTCCATCGCTTCTGGTCCACGCAGACAGTTTGTCCACTCACATAGTTCAATGTGTTTGAATGAACCACGTCGCTTTAATCCAGATTATATCTTCTGTTGAAAGTGGATTCCCTCACCCTTTTTTCTTTCATTCTTTGTGGTTTGTTAGTAAATGAGGAATATATATATATATAGATTTATATATGTATATTCTGACAAATTTAAAAATTTAGATTGAAAAAACAATAAAACACCAGATTTGCTCTTTTATTTTCTCGCCCGTATCAGAGCAGAAACACAAACATTAAATTCAACTTATTATTATTCAACAGTCTGAATTTAAGTGAAATATTTGCAGCAACAGAAGAAATTTCAAATCTGCCGTTTTTAGATAAAGTGAATTTTATTAATATGATCATTTTATCGTTGATGCCTCTGATATCAGAACAGGGCCGTTTTCTAAACCCTCCATGTGTTCTGTTGGTCTTTCAGAGCTACAGCGATGACAGAGGTTACCCTCCTCCTCCTCCATCCAGAAGATATCAGTGGAACTCAAAGTAACGTTGGACTTTGGGATTTTGTTGGACGGGCGACTATTTTTAGGGGAACCATGTCATCAGCCGGCATCTTTTTCATTTTATTGTCTTCTTGTACAATGAATTTTTTTTCCTCCTTTTTGTTGTACTTAAAAAAAAATGGAATTTGTGATTTTTATGATGAGCAGCCTGTTAAACTTGTAAAATACAAGTGAGTCATGGACAAAGTGTCCCACTGTGTTTGTTTTTGAGAGGAATCTCCAGAGTGGTTCATGTTTAAAAAAACAAAATTTAAAAAAAAAAAAGGAGAAAGAAGGAAAAAGATTTGGTGGAACAAAAGAACAAATTCTGTTCTTCTCAAACTCAATTTAAATCCCTGTTTTATTTTTGTTAACTTTAAAAGAATTTAAAAGTCTTTTCATTTTAATAAGTACCTCAACAGAATGAGTCCTTACATAATGAAAAGTGTTTAGTTTGTAATTTTTTTTCTGCAGAATATTGGATCGATTTCGATTTATTGGCTTTTTCAAATATTTCATGGTCCAAATGTTGCAGAAAACTGTTTCTATCCACCTGCTGTCACTGTCTTTGTTAGAAATACTGTTTTAAAAATCTGTTAAATGTTTGCTTGAGGCTCCACAGGGAGAAAAAAAAAAGAATGTCCAAAATGAAAATATCATTTATTCAATACTGGAAACAAATTAAATCAGCCGTAACAAAGGATATTTAATGACTTGCTTCCAATGAAAATACTCGTCATTCCGTTGACTTCAGAGCTGTGGAGGGTTTGTTTTGTGTTTCAGATCTGCTCCTATTGCTTCACTTTGTTCAACCTGCAATAATTTAATTTGTAGTGGAAGTGAAAGGGAAGCACGGGGAGCGTGCCTCATCCTGGATCTCCTTAAATTAGACTTTTGTGGTTTTGTTTCATGAGCTTAAAAGCAGCAGCAATTACATCTGTCATTTACAAAAAAAAAAAAAAAAAGACTAACAAATATTTCGTTTAGAAGCGGGAGAAAATACATTATGATCAACATTCAGTCCATGTTCGAGGCTCTATTATACAGTTTATTTTTGCACCGTATTGCCCAAAACCACCGAGTGTCTTTTGAGTCCCTGTGTGCGTAAAGGAACCAGAACTTTACGCACGGAAAGAGAGAAAAACAAAATGTGGTGCTTGTTTTTGTCCAGCAGCCGGTTCTCCAAAAACAAAAAAAGCATCCATCCCAGGCCTGCTCCCCGCCTCTCGGCATCCCTACCAAGTTCTCCCGTACAGTAAATTGGAGCCGATCATGCTGTTGGTGTACTCAATGAGCGCCGCGTCCGTCTGCGTCATGTTGATCTGACCGTGGAGTCCGAGCGGCGGACTGGGGGACAAATCCTCCAGCTCCTCCGTGGACGACAGCTGGTTCACCTGCTGCTGCTGCTGCTGCGGGGTCGCCGTCATGGCCTCACCCGAGCTGCTCTGTCGGTTCCCGTTATGGTTGGAGCTGCTGGAATCGGTCCGGCAGCTTTTACCGTTCTTGGAGAGGACCGGTGACACGGAAGAAGACCGGCGAGTCGTTGCGCACAGGCCGCCGCCTCCTCCTCCACCGCCGCTACCGTCCTGCTGCAGCTGCTGCGTGGCCTTGTCCTTGGCCTGGCGCTTCAGCTTGTACCGGTGGTTCTGGAACCAGATCTTGACCTGGTTCGGGGTGAGGTGGATGAGCCCGGCCAGGTGCTCCCTCTCCGGGGCGGACAGATACTTCTGCTGCTTGAAGCGTCGCTCCAGCTCGTACACCTGCGCCTGCGAGAAGAGAACCCGCCGCTTCCTCCGCGGCGCGGCGTGGAGCGTCACCATGGACTTGGCGGAGGAGTCCATCCCGGCCAGGCTGCCCACCATCCCGGGCATGTTCATGCCGGCGGAGGGACCCATGAATCTGGAAACTTCGAGAAACTATAATCAGCGTTTGACTGGACAAAAATCTACATTTTACGCGCGATAATTCAACGGATAAAAAAAACTCAAACATCATTAATCACATCCAAACCTCGAAATGTACAATATATAGACTTTTTATTTGTTATTATTATTAATATTATTAAACCCTTAATTAAATTTACAATAACGGAAAGCTAGAGTATAACAGCAATTAATTTTTTGCGTAAAAGTCATCCATAATTTTAGGATTGCAAAGGCAGAAATAGATGTTTGTTAATATAGAAGACCTGCATGGATGTCCATTTAAGTGATTAAATTAATTAAGGCCACTTTGGTGGATCACAAACACATTGAAGTCAATAGAAGAGCATCAATAATGCAGTTGGTTACAGTAAAGTTAATATAAACACTCCAAATAAGTGGAGAAAAAAGGTCCAATTAATTAAACTAAACTGTTTTAAATTAAATCGTGAGAAGGCCTGTTGTCTAATATTAATTTAAATGTAAAAATTACAAGTTAGGCCTTTACAGAAAAAGGCCACATAAATGCAACTCTTTAAAAAACAGAAACAAAGCGCATCAGATGGGTTACCGTGAATCCAGCTGATATTTTCTCCTTTTCACAAACTTTCACATTTAAAATAAAATAAAAACTTTCCAGTGAAGCTGCTCTTACTTGTGGGGTACCGGGGCTCCGGGTTGCTGTACCAGGCCGCCGCCGCCCCTCCGCCCCGCACCGTCTCCTGGTAGGACGGCAGGTCTCCGACGTTCCCGATCCCGCCGTTGCAGAACCCGCCGACGGCCCCGGAGAACTGCGGCACCCCGTGGGACACATGGTAGGGCCCGCCGGGTCCCAGGGCGGCTGCTGCGGTGGCCGAGGCTGAGGAAGAGGAGGAGGAGGAGGATGAAGAGGAGGAGGACAGGTGGTGATGGTGGTGGTGGTGGTGATGGTGGTGGAGGTGAGGCGGCTGATGCTGCTGCGGCTGCTGCTGATGCTGCATACCGGGCTGGGAGACTTGCGGCTGCCGGTAGGCGCCCAGCGGGGATCCGAGGCTCCCCGCCGCGTGATCCATCCCTCCGAACCTGCGGTAGCTGTCCTCCATCGGGCTCAAGATGTCTGTGACTGAGAAGGGAGTGGAGTGCTTTGGGCTCAAGGACATGGTGCGGCCACCCCCGTGCCCTCCGGTCCGCTGCGCTCCGCTGCTGCCTCTGGCTGGATGTGCTCGGCTCTCTGCCTGCGTCCCCCTCCCTCCCTCCGGCTTCTTGCTTGTGGTGTCTCGCTGGGAAGAAGTCCAGCTGATCGGCGGCAGGAGGAGACCAGTTGCCCTTATCCCGCTGGACCCACATGGAGGGGCGGAGCGACGCGGACACGGCAGCCAACAATGGCAATTGACATTAGAGGTAAGTAGAGAAAATGGTTTGGACCGACTTTCTCCTGCTGCTGAAGATGAGAGTCAAACCCAGAATTCCTCTGAAGCCACAGATGAGACAGATGCACTGACCTCCTGATGTCCAGTTAACCAGATAGATAATGATCTCCAAACTGATCAGCTGTCACATCATTAATCATTATGATCAGTTTTCCTTCAGGATTCATTCCCTGTTTGGAGCTTCAATGTTAGAAACGCAGCTCTAACTTCATGTTTCCAGAGTTGAACTGTCACAACTTTCCGTCCAGCCTGTGACACCTTTTATTACTTTATCTGTTTCAGCTACAGTCACTGTTTCTCTCTGAACTTCAGGTTTAGATTTCAGGATTCCACATGTACAGATTTTAAATGAGTTTTTGTTTCCAGCCTCGTTCTTCCTGCGCTGCAGACTGAGCTTCACACTCATCCCAGAGTTATTTAAAGTTGATCTGTTTTAGTTTCCTGAGCCAAAGTTCGTTTTCTGTAAATTCACATGATTTTGAACGATTTAAAATCTCAACTTGTTTTTGCTTTTCAACATTATAAAGTTCAGACAATAACAAACACTTAATTAATCATCTCCTCCTCTATTATGACCAGACTTCCTCTATTTAACATCCATTTTATAATTAATAACACTTCTCATTTAAAAAAAAAAAAAAAAAAAGTATTTGTTTTGCCTGTATTTACTGGTGGTGGTGCATGGATGTACATAATTGTTTCAACTCCTTTAAAGTATTTCATTTATACCATTATATCATGTATATTATATTATTACATTGTTTGCATTATTCTGCATATAAATGATTAATGTGTTATACTTTATTAGTTAAATTTCCAATGACTTATTTCCCCCCAATAGATGTGAATCATTCTAACGAATATTTAAGTTAACTTTAAATAAGAAATAAAAGTTTCTCGACCCCCTTTTTTTTTTTTAATTATTTAATGATTTTTTTTTTCGATCAAAATAATTTGGAGTCACAAGTTGGTGAGTCACAAAGGAAATAAGTGATATTTTAAACCAACACTAATTTAAACATCCGGGGGGGAAAAACAATAACAATAATTTAAATCCTCTAGTTTTCTGTAAAACTTATCTTTGTATTTGTTTTTGTTTGTTTTTGTTTTTTTATGTCCTCCTCAGACGTGGGCAGACTTCCCGGCTGCTCGTGCTGACCTTTGCTTCTCTCTGCAGGTTCCTCATTAACCAACAACAATCCACCTTTCTGTCCTGTAAACAGTCCGAGCAGCCAATCACCTGCTGACCTGCAGCATCGCGTCACTTCGCGTCCTCTCCGTGGTTTGCTGAGATCTCGCTGCTGCTGCTGCTGCTGCTCTCCGGTGATCTGCTGCACGAGGACCGGGCAGGCGGGCGGACCGGGACCGGGACCCGGGACCGGGGACCCGGAGCTTCATCCCGCCGGTCAGAGAGGACACCGGAGACGGTCCTGATCCAGATGTTGCTGCTCCACCGCATGATGAGTTGACGGTGAATGAATTCTTCTCATTATTAATTCTCATTAGATTGGTTACAGCAGCACTATAATAGTCTCTCTACAGTATTTATTCATGTTTTCACCAACATGCTGCTCATTTAATCATCGCGATGCTTTCATGTGTCTTTCTGGAGAATTAATCATTTCACTTTAATCTTCTGATGTTGCTCTAATATCCCAGAAACTAATTCATAATGTGTTTGTTCTTTAACTGTTCTATTATCACATCATCTCCCTACAAATACATTTAATGTGTCTGAAGCTGTTTGTGACACATTAAAGCTCAACAGAACCTGGAAACATGCTGAAGGCGTTTAAGCTCTTCTGTCAAGGTGAGTTTCCCTCTAAGGTTTGTGATTTATTCATTGAGGCAGACAGTATGTGTGGCTGTAGAGAGATTTAAAATGTGATTTTTAAAGTCATATAACAATGTAAGGCTCCTTCAGGGGGTTGGAATAAATCTAAGGCTGTTTTTAATCCATTAAGGGGAATATTTTCTAGTTTAATCGTGTTTTTCTTTACATTTCACTATTTGTTGACCTAAAATAACCTTTAAAAATATGTTATCATTCCAGCACTGACTCTGAAGGTGATCGTGGTGCTTTTAGGATCAATTTAAATGTAAATATACTGACAGACATTTAAAACTTGTGTTTAATAATATGTGAACAAATAAGGATGTCACGGTGCCTCTGGTGCTCCAGAGTCATCGCTGCATTTAGTTTTTCTATTTAATACTTTAACATATAAATGTTCTAATGGTGTAATGTGGAAATCGTGGCTATAAAAGGTCTTTTTAACCCTTGTACGTCTTCTGATCTTGCTGTCACACTACAGGCCTCTGCTGCTCCAGTTTTACTGTTTATTAACCTCGTGGACGCATAGAAGAGAGTTTTAGAAATGTTCTAACATCACAATCTTTCCGTTGTGACTTTTTATGTGTGTGAGAAATTTAATGATGCAAAGTAACATGTAAATGGACTGAAAAGGCATTTTAAGGTCGTTGTATCGTCACAGGAGTCGAGGTGAGTTTGGTGTGCTTAAGTTTCTGATGTAGTCGTGAACAATCGACTTTAAATGACTTTATAACTATTTATAATGTGATTTTTTTTTTAAACAATGTGGTCTCATAGGGATTTATAATGTGTGTGTAGATGAATTATTCACACTCAGGGTGGTTTTTACTTCTTGTTTCTATTCTACTGTTTATGAACTTTATTGTGACCTTTTTTAAAGTTCTAATGTTGAAATATTCCAACAGGAGGCTTGAATATTTCTGGTTTATTTTATGATGCATTGAAGCTCAGAATAACATCTAAATACACTGAACGTTGTTTTAACTCTTCATGATAACAACATATTAACATGTTGGTGCTCTAAAGTTTCCAATATAATCCTGACAGACTTTTACTGTAATGACTTTAGAGCAGCTTAAAATGAGCGTTTTAATGGTTTTAATGTTCTTATTCCACAGTTTGTTGAGCATATGGAGACCTACAAGAGGCTTTTTAAAATAACATTCCCACAATCACTGTGAATGTTGAGCTCGTTAATGGGTCTGTAGGTTTCTAGAGCCTCATGTTTCTAATGTTTTTATCTGCAGATCCCATCTAATGAGTTCATGTTGAATTAATTACAGCTAAAAATGTTTTAATTCTTCATCTTTAATTCCTACAAACACCTTTAATGTGTCTGAAGTAGTTTGTGATTAACCTAATGCCACTATATGACTTATAATTACACTGATGTATATATATATTACAATGGATATAATAATATAGTACTATTGCAGACTTACACTGTTAAATACCTTCATGATGAAATAATTAACTGAACGGTATTTATTAGTCTCTTAATTATGTGTGTTGACTTTAATACTGAGTTTCTAATGAAATCACTGCAGTAGATAACGAAGAGTTCATCGACTAAATGATGTTGTTGTTTGTTCTAAGTGATCATGTTCCCATTAGAATTTATTAAGAGATCACTGGTTTTAAAAAAAAGAATTACAGTTCATAATGCTCAAGTTAAAATCCTGCATCCTAAAGAGTAACAGTACAGAGGTTCTACCAGCAAACTGAATGTATGAAAAGAAAAAAAAAAGCTCTTTTTTTCTTTCTTTTTTTTTTTTTTAATGTGCCCCTAAACTGATATTTTATTTCGTTTCAAAGAGTAACAGATGAACGTGAGCACTTGTGAGATGATTAATGCAGGAGGAGCATTTTGTTCAGGTTAACTTTGGGATAATTAGTGTTATTTAAACGAAGCCATCGTCAAGGTTTCGCGGGAGAGGAGTCATTCATCTCATCGACATCTGAGACGATGGGCCCCAACTGCTTGTTTTAACAGCGAGTTGGATCTTATGAGCCTGTGATGTGTTTTTATTTAAAATGTAAATGTTAAATTATTAATCTTAAATGTGAGTGTGCTTGGTTGTCTGTCTCTAAGTGTAGCCCTGAGTCAGCTGGGATAGACTGCAGCCCCCCGTGACCCCAGTGAGGATTAAACTAATGGATGGATTATTAATCTTAAGGATCTAGTATCTTAAACAGGACAAAAATAAACAGTGTTTCCCTCTGAAATTCCTCAACGAGCTACAGTTCTTGCTTCAGCAGTTTTCCGTCCTTTGTTATTGGTGGACATTGGTTGGTTGGTGTTGGTTACAGGGAGGTTTGTGGTTTTCTGGAGAAGGTTTGCACACTTCTCTGTTTTTAAAATCCTGTAGTATCATCACACTGAACTGTGTCTTGGAGCTGCTGATATATATTTTTTGTTCATTTATGATACATTGTTCAGTGTCAGAAAGTAATGACAACATGTGAACGCAGCAGCATATTTCAATTTTTGTCAGACCAACCATCAAAAACAAAATGGGTTCATTTAGATGATTAGAATGTTTGTTCTTCAAAATTAATCCCTCAGAAAACTTATTTGTTTTATTTAGAAATTAGAAACTGTTAGAAGGAAACTAGAAATTCTTCCTCTGGCTGGTTGGATTGTGATCACAGGGAATGGCTTTGGCAGGAGGATGTTGGGGTGGATGGAGGACGCACAAAGCTCACCAGAGTTCACATCCACACTCCTGTCCTTCTGTGGTTTTGGTTCACAAAGAACATTGCTTGTGGTTTTGATTAGAGGTAAACAAATAACTCAATCCAGACTCTTTCTTTATTAAAATAGCAAACCCCAATCTGCCCTTCATGCAGAGACATGAAGGCCTAAACACAATCATAAAATAGTGGAGTGACTACA